GGGCCCCCCCTGTTAGCAACCCACAAGAACCTTGTGTAGCCCCTGTCTTGTGACTGCCCCCCAAATTTGTGGAAGGCTTTGCTAATGTCTGCCGCATAGGGTACTGTTCTGTCCTGAATCCAACAACCACTGAAATTTTCGCGTGGGAGGGCCTGTGAGCAGACAGTCGTTCAACGTGGCCTCGGGGACTCGCCTGCGAGCTGCAGTTGAAGCTATCTGAGGGGAGGGGGGTTACTGACTCCTTGGTGACTGCATGTGTGGAAGTAAGGGGGGTTTTTTCCCCCGGGGTGGCTTTGGGATTTCTAAGAACCAAGGGCCGTGTTCCTTAATAATATCATCATATTTCCCCCCCGACCCCCCTTTGGGCAGGTGTTCACCCAAAGAAATTTAAAAGACCGGGGCCCTTTTTTTAAATTTTTGGCGCGTTGGGTTTTTCCCGGGTTTTATGGGAGTCGCACCCGTACTGTCCGTCCCCGAAAAGCATGGTTCAAGTAATCTCATACGCTCTTCGTGTTCGGGGGGGGTGGTCACCTTTAATTTCCCTATAATCCCGGTCCCCTTTGTTTATGGACCGGGTCCTGTCGGTTTGCCAGCTTGCGTCTCTGACAGTTTTTTGCACACCAAAACGCATCACCCAAAACAGCCCCAGTCGCTGTAAAAATAGAGCCCTCCTTTTTGGGGGACAGGGAGTGAGCTGGTACTCTGCCCCCTCGATGTACCCCCCTGGAGTTTTGTAAGGCCAAACCCTCCCTTTATAACCCTTCTCGTAGACAAGAAACCGTCTATGTAATCCCCCTCCTACAAGTTTCTACATTATACGTTGCTGTAGCAAGTCTGGTTCCCCTGTTCCACCCCAACTCCTAAAACTTTTTTTGCTGCAGCCAGTCCCTTTTGGTAATGATATTGGGAGCCTTTCACTTCAGGCTGAAATTTCCCGTCGTGCCCGGCACCTGACCGTCATTGACTACTGGTAAAACCGCGGGGGCCTTCCCCCAAAACCCTTCCACCTTAGTCAACTTTACAAAAAGTCTCCCGCTTCAATCTAGTTTCTGACCTCCACTATGAAGGATCTCTGTGCCCCCCTGTGAAGAACAACGGGCATTTCAGAATTTTCCGTTTTGAAAAACCCATTTTGGGTGGGCAAGGCCACCGAACCTTGAAACTGCTCATCAGAAAAAATTTTCCCCGGTGCGTACTCGCCACACCTTCCTACTTCGCTTGTTCTTTCTCTCCCCCCCTTTTGGGGGCTTGCTTCCTTAAATTGTACTAATCTGGCGTCATTAGGACCAGGCCTTGGGGGTGCCCCCACCCTTTCCCAGCGCCCCGACACTCCTGAGTTGGGCTTACGTCCCTGGGAAAATGTTCTCCACAACCTTGAAAAAAAGTCCCCAATCCTTAGCGTTGAACACTTTTGGGTTTGGTGGTAAGCTTTAACACCCTACTTGCATGTTTTCCAAAAAAAGCACCGTCTCTTATGGCCCCTTTAATGACTTCTCCTTGGGTCTGGGGGTGGAGGACTTGTCCGGGGGATAATAGAGCAACCTAGTAGGAGGTGGTTTGCTTTTTCTCTGAGTTTGGAGGGGTTTTTCGATTCCCCCCCCCTTTTCGGCAATTTCCCCCCCGCCTATGCCAGGTGGACACAAGATTCCCAACCCCTCAACGACTGTTGTATTGTGAACCGGTTCGTCCATTTTTAAGTGCAAAACATGCACGTAGTGCCAGCTGTTTCCCCTGAATAACCGAGTGAACCCTTTGACTTTAACCCCCTCATGTAAACTTTGACAAATTTGTTTAAAATCAAATTCGATTCGGAAAATTCTTAGGCTTGAAGCATGGCGATAAGCCCCGATCAAAAAACCCATAAGTTTAGCTACCTTTTCTCCTCAGTGTTCCCAAAGTGTCCTTTTTTGGGCTTTGGCATTTTTTGGTAAAGGTTTTCGGGGGGTTTGGTTATGCCGGACCAAGTCCAAAGGCTGTAAACGTAAATATTGTAAATTGACGGCATTGACAAATCATCTCTGTATCTATCTGGGCTTTAAATGTCCCCGAAAGCAATGTACTCTGTTAAGGTTCCGTCAAACGTTGGTAATTCAAATGGGGCCCTTGGGCAACACTTAACGGTGTGCTGTTGTTTTTATGTTCTTGAAAAATTTTTCTGCCCCTGCTTACCCCGGGTTCAAAAATCTTTTTAACTGCCTGCAGGTCTCATCTTGCTTTACATCTGCCCTTCGTTGTCTTTGTCGTCCTGCTACTTCGACTTTATTCAAATCGCGTGTAGTTAGGCCTTGTTCCCTAAAGGGTAAAGATTCCAAAGACTCCAGTTTTGCTCCAAAGGGGTTTTAGGCAACTCTCTAGTTCCCCCCAGGTCTTTCGTCTTGCTTGCCCGCCGTACGACATCCTCACATGCTTTGTCAGGCGCCCCTTATAGGCTCCCAAAAGACCCCTTTAATTGTTAGAGTGGGACAGTGGATACTTTTTCCCCCACCTAGTTGCGGTTTAGTTTAAAATCTCGGTACTTTAAATTTTTACTTCAATTTGCCCACCACAGCACGAACGGTATTGGTGAGAAGGAACGAGCTTAAAAAATTCCCTTTGTTTATTGACTTAATCTGAATCAAAAAAAGTCCTGTTAGCTCTCAAATCCCAATCGAATGGTATCGTTTTGAAAGCTTAAAATAGCATTTTAAAGTAAAATGCCGCAAATAATTAAGGACTTTTAATTGTCTCAGGAAATTCAAAATCCCAATTAACATAATCAAAAACAATGAAAACACACAATAAAAGTGTGTTACAAATTAAAAAACACTTGGTTAACACAAAAAATTCACCAATTAATTTGTGAACAGTAAATAATTAATGTATGTAAATTTCTTGGCCTAACTGTGCCCAGCTTCTTGTCTAGCGTGGATGTTGGTAAGGTAAATCCTAAACCCATTAGTGTGCTATAAAAAAACCTGGTTTATAATCTTGTAAATAATTTAAATAGGTTAAATCTGTAAATATTGCACAAGTAGCTAACTGTGGTACCTTGAATCCCCTGTAAGTAATTAACAACAAGTCTCCTACACTGGTTTATTGTAAATTTTAAATAAATTTAAAAACACAAGTTCTTAGCCCACCTGGCCTGCCCGTAATTTTTTGAATTAACAATTCTGTGTTAGTCGTTGGGGCCCAGCCCCTGGTAACTTTGACTAGGTTGCTAACTTTAAACCCAAACTTTTTTTTAAAAAGGTTCCTAACTGTGGCCTAGGGTTTAAAAGTTAACCTAACTCTGTTAAACTGGTTCCTAACGTGGCCTGGGTTATAGCTTTTAACCTAACCCGTTAAATGGTTCCTAACTGTGGCCCAGCATGATAGCTTAACCAGCATTCCAATATGGTTTTCGAAAAAACCTTTTGTGAAAAATTTTCCTCTAAGCCCTTGTGAGGTGGGTCCCCCCCAGAGCTCGGTGTTAACAGAGTTTGCCGGGTAGGGACTCACTTGGTGGGCCCGTCCAAAAAATTTTTCACAAAAGTGAAAGGTTGAAGGACATTTTTTGAAAATTTGTGTGGATGCCTCCAAGGGTCGCCCCTTCCCCGGAAACCTTTGACACCCAGCTCTGAGGTGGATACCCAGCCTCACAAGTGGTTTTAGGACAGTTTTCACAAATGATTTGGGATTGCAAGAAAAAATCGCCTGCTGCACGTTTAAAGGCTAACTTACTTGGTGTTGCGCATATTCTGTCTTTCAACTTCCTAAGCTTTGCCTTTCCCCTTTGATTCCCCCCAAAAACCAGTGCAACGGGGCCTTAAATTTGCAATATTCAATTAATTGGTCCCGCCCGCCCCCTCCCAAATTCCTTTATCAAAAGGGGGATGTTCCCCTATTATAAAATAGCAGACTCAGACACTAGCTTCCCGATGCTTTAAGCATGGTATTACTGGCTGTAACCGTTGCAACCGGGCCCCCAGATCGATATCCAATCTCCAAGACACTGGCCGTAATTACGGAAAAAAAGGTGGAGGTTTGTTTAGTATGGCCTGAGGAGGAAGTCATCTTTCGGGTACATGAGGTGCCTTACCAGATTTTCCCCCGGTTAGATGGGGAGAAAAAGTGGGGGGGCGCCGTTGTGATCCGGCACGTGTTTTCCAGATGGTTGTCTGTCTTAAGAAGGATGCTATGTCTTTTGGTGCGTCGTATTCAAGTAGGGCTGCCAGTTCTCCCTAGCTAAAATTAACCTGTGTTTGCCCACATTTCGGCCTATTAAACCTATGTTAAGGCTTAGGTCTACATTATTTTTTTACAGATACCCCATAATATAATATTAAAAATACTAAAAGTAAGAAATCTATCCTTCCCCGAAAGAATAAAACTATAAAAATTAAATTACATGCCCACCAAAAACCTCGCCCCACCAGAGGAAGCTTTCTGTTTGGGGGGGGGTATAAGGGCCCCTCCAGCTCACCGTCCCCCTACGTATGATGGGTCTGTCCTGTGGAATTTAGGGCCAAATAAATTTTACATTTGTAGTCTTTTGTAGGGTGGAGATGAGTAACGGATTAAAAGAATTAAAAAAAGAAAAGAGAGAGGGAGAGAGAGGAGAGAGAGGAGGAAGAGAGAGAGAGAGGAGGAGAGAGGAGAGTAGAAAAAAAGAGGAGAGGAAGAGAGGAGGATTGAGAGGGAGAGAGAGGGGGGAGAGAGAATGAGTTCGAGAGGGGACAGAATCGAGTTATGTAAAAAAAACCCGGCGTGTTGGTTGTAAATTTTCCGTCAAGCGATTTGTAAACATTTCATATTTCTGTGGGTATAGTTATCATGTTTATTGTGTGTAATTATTACCATTATTAATATGGCATCTTTAAGACTAATAAGACACTCTTAGTGATTTTAACGTGTACCTGCACGCAATTATATTTATGTGTCCCTGTACTTAGGTACAGGGACACATAAATATAATTTTCAGAGAATATATAAAATAACTTTAAAACAATTGAAATTTTAGAAAGTTTCCAAACACAATGGAGAGACACGGTGCTCATGGAGAATGTAAACGAACCGGGTGGCGTGCACCGTATTAGAAAGATAGGAGTCGTAGAATTTTGGTCATAATTTGAAATTGCCATATTAGCGGAACGCTGTAAAGTGGGGCTCTATTGTATTGCACTTGCTCTCCATTTTGAATCCACCACCACACAGGTTAGGTTAGGTTAGGTAAGGTTCGTCAGGAAACAGGACAAATGTTTCCCGCCTTTGGAGCTTTGGTCATCTGACCGAGGCCTTCCGCTGGCTTACCGGTCCACCCCTTTAAAAATTATGGTCATTTATAACCATTGTTGATAATTATAATTACCACCACACAGAAAACTGAAATTTCTCCCCAATTCACAGATGAATAAAATACGGCACAACCAAGAATGACTGACCACGGCACGGGCAGGGATTGAACTTGCCGCTTGTGAGAGTTCAATGCCCACCTGTATCGTAGTATGTTTGCAAATGTGTCATTATGATTTCATAAGTCAAGAATAACTAAAGGGAGGGGCGAGCTTTTTTTCAGTGATCAGGAAATTAAGATTGAAAAGTTATGGAAAAAATGTTTTCTTACTGAAAAATAGTGCATAATTCTGGCAACATATTGATGTTATCAGATTGTTTCTGTCATATTTCTAAGTATGTTTTTCATTAAATGTAATTTTTTTGTTCATGCTGGCAGCAAAAATACATGTTGGTAATTAGTGTTTTTTTTTCTTTCAAAATTACGATTTATATGATTATTTCATTCTAAATTCTCTACTTGGCAATTTTTGTGCTGGCTGAAGTGTGGAGTGTGGCAGGTGTGTCCCTCAGTAGCCGGCAGGCTGTCAAGAGAGAGTGAGGTATGTTCAGATTTGGCACGCCACAACCACAATTTCACGCCACACAAAAATAAAAAAAAATCAGAAATAAGTTATTGCCATTGTGATACATATTTTGAGATAAATATTAATAGGATTGTCATGATTTTTGCACGTGTTATTGGGGAATGATGGTTCTACAACACTCAGGGAAGGTATGTGATATTGTTTACAGCTTTTTGTTAATGATTTTTTTTCTCCACAAAAAAAAAATCACTAACCTCAATTTTTTTTTTATGAAATCTACTGACATTATCGGTGAAAGGGCCTGAGTTAACAAAAATCTAGCTTTTATCTTTCATCTGATGTTAACTAGAGCATTGTACATCTTCGCAGCGCTGTATAGTCCTTGTGGCTTAGCGCTTCTTTTTGATTATAATAATAATGTACATCTTCAGAATTTAGTAGAGAAAGGAAAGTTTTAGAACCCATGAAATTGTGCATAATTTATTTTTTCCACCTAACTTGAAGGCTAACAGTCAAAACAAACAGTCTATGTTTTTTATGCTGCTTAATCGATTGTCAAGATCTCATTGAAATTGAACCCCCCCCCACCCAAAAAAAAAATGGTGATTTCGCTCGCCCCTCCCTGAAGCAGACTTAGTAAAAATCCATAAATCAGAATAGAGGGGAAGAAGATGGGGTAGATGTCCTTGCTCTTTGGGAAAATTGTCTAAATTTTTTATTTCTGCTACTTTTGAGCCCTACTCTTCAAGCTACTTTCAGTCCTGAAACCAACCAAAATTATCTACTTCAGTAGCATGTCTTCCATACTATCAATTGAAACAGCCAATAAAGCCATAAAAACCATACTAGAAAACACCTCAAAGTTGCTATTTTAAACCAATCACAAGATGAGAGGTTTGCTTTTCCCATCATGCACTGTGAGGGGGAAGGATTTTTTTTAATATTGCACACACTCACCACACAGACCCGTCTCTCATGTCCAAGCCAAAATTGATCTCCCACAGCATATTTGTGGTCACTGTGCATAAAATACAGATCTACCTGAGTGACACTGGTCTCAATGACAGTTCTAAGCGAGAGATAGTGAAAGGGTTAACTAATATGCTAAGTCTAGATTTAGGTAGTATGTAGGCTTTATGATCAGTTTGCTTTATGATCACTCTGTATGAGTGACTTTCTTTTGCGCCTACTTTTATATCAACTTTTGTATGGCTGAAGATAAAAAAAAATTAGTTTTAACTGTTTAATCTAACCTAATAATAAACAATATACATACATTATTCTAATAGCTATAATTAAAAATAATCAAACCAAAGTTGAGGAACACCAACATCTCCCCATGTTCAAAAGTTAATCTGTTCCTGTGAGGAGAGCAGAAGTCTCCTCTAATACTAAAGCCGTGGTGGAGAGGGGAGCTTGAACCCAGATATTTCCTGCATATGGAAAAACTATCATTATTATTATTATTAAAGATTAGCCGGTATTCTCCCGGCCCGGGCCTTTTCCAAGTGGTGGCCCGGCCTTGGCTCCCTCTTTAGGGAGTGTCTGAGACCTAAGTCTCCCATGGGAGGAGGCACAAGTACCCCCTCATCTTTGGGACCAACTGTCCCCAGGCCTAGCCACAAGCTAGGCCTCTCTGGTCTGCCATCCCCGCCCCAAGGGGGCAAATGGGAATAACAGTCTTATGAGCTAAAGGCTCGGGCTCAGGCACCTACCCTACCCTAGAAGGGCTGGGCATGGTGTCGATCAAAAAAAAAACTATCATATTTTCTTTCCAACACTCTAGCGGATTTCCTTCTTTAGGCAATAACTCCAATGCCATATATTAGTCTGTTTTTGTTTTCATATTTGTGGAAACACAAACACCAGCACTTTTTTTGGTTCTATGTTTTTGTGATTTGGAAAAAGATTAAAAAGAATGCCGATGTCTTTGATGTACTTTGATTGGGAAAATTGGCTATGATTTTTTCATAATATTGATCAAAATTAGACTGGTCAAGTTTTTCAATCCTTGTTACATCATCCTGACTTTCTTCATCAGACTAGTTAATGCTTGATGCTAACAAACTAGCTGCATTCTCTGATTTTTTGAGCTGCTGAATTCTCTCCTGAGTTTTTCAGTTCATCCTCAAGGTTGGTTTTAAATGATTCATCCACTGAAATGACACTGAATGAGTGATTTTTGTATTGGATATCTAGAAATTCGCTCAGTATCGAATGGTGTCACTCTGGAACCTAGTTAACCCCGACACTTCAAGAGCTGATAGTGTGCTACCCAAGCCTAAGAATCCTGGATCACTCAAAGCTTTGTTAATCAAAAGTTTAAAAAATTGTACTTGAGGAGAATTTCTGAAAGGAGACAATTTCTTTTACTATGATTTACATTTATTTTATGAAATATTTCAACAACATTATTTAAGTGCTATTCTCATAAGCAAGTACGTTTTAAATTGGCTTTTGCTTGGATAGTTCATCCTGTTCCCTAAAAGCCTCTAGCTTACTACAGGCTAAAGGATCAGGACCAAGGTGGTGCAATTTTTGCCTTTAATCAGGTGTGCTTTTTATTATTCTCTGTTCCAGAATTGTATTTTTTATTAATACATTGGCCGTTTCCCACCAAGGCAGGGTGGCCCGAACTTTCATCATCATTCATTCCATCACAGTCTTGCCAGAGGCGCACTTAGACTACAGTTATAAAACTGCAACATTAACACCCCTCCTTCAGAGTGCCGGTACTGTACTTCCCATCTCCAGGACTCAAGTCCGGCCTGCCGGTTTCCCTGAATCCTTTCATAAATGTTACCTTTCTCACACTTCCACAGCACATCAAGCCCTAAAAACCGTTTGTCCCCATTTGCTCCTATCTAACACGCTCACGCATGCTTGCTGGAAGTCCAAGCCCCTCGCACACCTTCACCCCCTCCCTCCAACCTTTCCTAGGCCAACCCCTACACCGCCTTCCCTCCACTACAGATTCATACACTTTCAAAGTCCTTTTATTTCGTTCCAACCTCTCTACATGTTCAAACCATCTCAATAACCCCTCCTCAGCCCTCTGGATAATAGTTTTGGCAATCCCACACCTCCTACTCTCCAAACTACAGATTCTCTGTATTATATTCACATCACACATGACCCTCAGACATGACATCACTGCCTCCAGCCTTCTCCTTGTTGCAACATTCACCACCCATGCCTCACACCCATACAAGAACGTTGGTATAACTATACTCTCATATATTCCTCTCTTTGCTTTCATGGATAAAGTTCTTTGTCTCCACAGACTCCTCAGTGCACCACTCACCTTTTTCCCCTAGTCAATTCTATGATTCACCTCATCTTTCATTTTGTTTGTAAATGCACTTTGGCACAGTTACCCTTCAGCAGTGTTGACATTGATTTACCTAATTATATTACAAATGACTCCTTGCCATACACTGATGATTATGATTGTTTTATGAAAACAGGCCTTCACTTTATTCATGTCAACGTAAGATCACTTTTTTCCAAAATTGGCAGAGATTAGGATTCTAGCTAACAGAACTAGGGCGGCTGTTATATCCATCTCTGAATCCTGGTTGGATGATATGGTGATTGACGCTGAAGACAAAATTGGTTACAATATAAAATGCTGAGATAGGAATAGAAAAAGTGGTGGGGTTTGTGCCTATATAAGAAATGACTTAGCCTACAACCGAAGACCTGATTTAAATGACAATAAACTGGAGATTCTATAGCTTGAAGTGTTGCTTCCCAATACCAAACTCATCTTAGAAGGTACTAGTTACCGCCCTCCCACCCATGACCAGCTCTTAGAAAACTTTTCGAGAGCCTTATCTGGACTTGAAAACAATTGTTTCTACTATTCTGTTTTCTACTACAAAATAACGGGCTATGTAACAGGTATACGCAAATTCTGGATATAAATAGTTATACTCAACTAATTAATACACCAACCCTGATCACAGTTCTCAGTCACCTTAACTGACCACATAGTTTGTAACCGCTCTGAGAACATTAGTCAGCCAGGTGTCATTACCACAGGCCTTAGTGATCATTTCATCATTTACTGCACTAGGAAAATCACTAGGGATAGGAAAGGCTTACACAGGACAGTAAAAATGAGGTCAACTAGAAACTACAGTAAAGAAACACTGGTAAATAGGCTACACAATTGTGACTGGACAGAGATAACAAGTTGCACGGACTTAAACGATGCCTGGGAAAAATTCAAAACAATGTTCACTACCATCCTTGATAATATTGCACCAGTTAAAGAGTTTAGGATTAAATGGAAAACCGAACCCTGGATGTCTACTGAGATATTGGATAATATGAAGTTCAGAGACCAGTTGCTAAAAAGATTTAAGGAAAACAGACAGGATATTGCAGCCCTAAATGAATTCCAAAGTGTAAGGAACGGAGGGCAGAGGCTTATAAAAAGAGCACTACTGTTCAAGAATCGAAGAGTACAAGACTAACCCTAGAAAGCTCTGGCAACAACTAAAACAGTTGGGGTGTAGCCATAAACCCGTAGATAGATCTAACATAGTACTGAATGTCGATAACGAGGTATGCCACGAAACAACTAAAGTGGCAAATTGTTTTAATTCCTACTACACAACTGTCGCATCAACACTAGTAAGTACACTACCGACTGCATCAAATACCTTTAACACAGACACTGATTAGTTTAAAACATACTATACCAATAAAGGGGTAACCCCAAACAGTTGTCAATTAGTAACTGTATCTCATGACTGGGTTAGACCCAACTAAGAGCACCGGCCCTGATAACATCCCGTATAAATTCGTAAAAGATGGTGCCTTTGAATTGCCAGTCCTCATTGCTCACATAATAAATTTGTCTACTACCACTAATGCCATTCCAGAGAGGTTCAAGAAGGCCAGAGTTACTTCTATCTCCAAGAAAAATAGGTCTGATGTCAGCAACTATAGGTCTGTCAGTATACTCAGTGTAATATACAAAGACGGTGTACGGTCAAGTAGTTATCTGGAGTATACATGGAGAGAGTTCCGGGGGTCAATGCCACCTCGGCCCGGTCTGTGACCAGGCCTCATGGTGGATCAGGGCCTGATCAACCAGGCTGTTACTGTTGGCCGCACGCAACCCGAAGTATGAACCACAACCCGGCTGGTCAGGTACTGACTTTAGGTACCTGTCCAGTGCCTGCTTGAAGACAGCCAGGGGTCTATTGGTAATCCCCCTTATGTATGCTGGGAGGCAGTTGAATAGTCGTGGGCACCTGACACTTATTGTGTTGTCTCTTACTGTGACAGTGGCACTCCTACTTTTCATTGGTGGGATATTGCATCGTCTGCCGAGTCTCTTGCTGTCATAGAGAGTGATTTTCGTGTGCAAGTTTGGTGCTAATCTCTCTAGGATTTTCCAAGTGTATATAACCATGTATCTTTCCCGCCAGCGTTCTAGGAAGTACAGATTGAGGAGCTTCAAGCCTTCACAGTAAATGAGGTGTTTTATCGCAGTTGTGTGTGCCGTGAAGGGTCACTGTACATTTTCTATGTCAGCAGTTTCACTTGCCTTGAAAGGTGCTGTTAGTGTGCAGCAATATTCCAGCCTAGATAGAACTAGCGACCTGAAGAGTGTCATCATGGGCTTGGCATCCCTGGTTTTAAAGGTTCTCATTATCCATCCTGTCATTTTTCTAGCAGATGCGATTGATACAATGTTATGGTCTGTGAAGGTAAGATTTTCTGGCATGATCACTCCCAGGTCTTTGACATTAGTTTCTCGCTCTATTGTGTGGCTGGAATTTGTTTTATACTTCGATGAATTTTTAATTTCCTCACGTTTTCCATATCGAAGTAATTGAAATTTCTCATCATTGAACTTCATATTGTTTTCTGCGGCCTATTTAGAGATTTGGTTGATGTCCGCCCTGGAGTCTTGCAGTGCCTTCAATGGAGGGCCCTGTCATACAAATTCGGGTGTCATTTGCAAAGGAAGACACGGCGTTGTGGCTTATATCCTTGTTTATGTCCGATATGAGGATGAGGAATAAAATGAGAGCGAGTACTGTGCCTTGTGAAACAGAGCTTCTCACTGTAGCCGCCTCATACATTACCCTGTTAACTACCGCTCTTTGTATTCCATTTGTTAGTAAATTATAGATCGATCTACCAACTTTCCCTGTCATTCCTTCATCACACATTTTTGTGCGCTATTACACCGTGGTCACACTCATCAAAGGTTTTTACAAAGTCTGTGTATATTACATCTGTATTCTGTTTGTCTTCTAGAGCATCCAGGACCTTGTCATAGTGGTCCAGTAGCTGGGAAAGACAGGAGGGATCTGCTCTAAATCCATGCTGCCCTGGGTTGTGTAACTGATGGGTATCTAGATGTGTGGTGATCTTGCTTCTTAGGACCCTTTCAAATATTTTTTTATGATACGGGACGTTAGAGCTATCAGTCTGTAGTTCTTTGCTGTTGCTTTACTGCCCCCTTTGTGGAGTGGGGCTATGTCTGTTTTTTTTAATAGCTGTGGGACTACCCTAGTGTTCATGCTCCCTCTCCATAGGATGTTAAAAGTACGTGATAGGGGTTTCTTGCAGTTCTAAATGAACACGGAGCTCCATGAGTCTTGGCCTGGGGCCCAGACTCGTGGATAATATCAGATAGGTGTGTGTCTACCAAATTCTGTCTCTCATAAAAAATTCATTTAGGTCTTCGACTCTGTCTGGTTAGAGGCTCGCTAGAAACCGAGTCATATTGGGACCTGAGTAGCTCACTCATTTCCTCGCTGTCATCTCTGTAGGACCCTTCTCGTTTAAGTAGGAGCCCAATACTGGATGTTGTTCATGACTTCGATTTGGTATATGAAAAGAAATACTTTGGGTTTCTTTCAATTTCATTTATGGCTTTTAGTTCTTCCCACGTTTCTTGTTCCTGTAAAATTCCTTTAGCTTCAGTTCGATGTCTGCTATTTCTCTGACCAGTGTCTCCCTACGTACTGCAGATATATTGACCTCTTTTAGCAGCTCTTTTATTTTTTGCCTTCGCCTGTATAGGGAGCGTCTTCTTTCTAGTTTACATCTTCTCCTCCTTTTCCCTTAAGGAAATATGCCTTGAGCATACCTCAAGTGTCACAGATTTAATTTGTTCTTGACATTGCCTGGAGTTTACCTGGAGAGAGTTCCGGGGGTCAACGACCCCGCGGCCCGGTCTGTGACCAGGCCTCCTGGTGGATGAGAACCTGATCAACCAGGCTGTTATTGCTGGCTGCACGCAATCCAACATACGAGCCACAGTCCGGCTGGTCAGGTACCGACTTTAGGTGCTTGTCCAGTGCCTGCTTGAAGACAGCCAGGGGTCTATTGATAATCCCCCTTATGTATGCTGGGAGGCAGTTGAACAGTCGTGGGCCCCTGACACTTACTGTATTGTCTCTTAACGTGCTAGTGACAACCCTGCTTTTCATTGGGGGGATGTTGCATCGTCTGCCGAGTCTATTGCTTTCATTGTGAGTGATTTTCGTGTGCAAGTTCGGTACTACTCCCTCTAGGATTTTCCAGGTGTATATACTCATGTATCTCTCCCGCCTGCGTTCCAGGGAGTACAGGTTCAGGAACTTCAGGCGCTCCCAACATAGGCTGGGATCCGTGCTGCTTAGGCTATCTTCAAAGTTTGTCATTTAGGACCTGATTTACTTGGTCCCATCTTATGCTTTTGTTATTGAAGTTGAATTTGGCGAGGCTCCCTCGTGACTGATCACATTTTGTCGGTCTGGGGCCCTCGCATACATGTCTGAACCTCTATTATGTTGTAATCTGAGTATATTGTTTTTGATATGGTGACATTTCGTATCAGATCATCATTGTTAGTGAAGATGAGGTCTAGTGTATTCTCCAATCTTGTAGGTTCTATTATATGCTGGTTTAAGGAGAATTTGGTGCAGAGATTTAAAGGCTCGTGTGTGCGCGAGTTTTCACCTGGGCCGCCGCCTGATGTTATCTCTGCTACAACATTATTTGATATAACTAAAAAAGGCACAATGCCGTGACTGGAACGATACACAAATAACCCGCACATAAAAGAGAGAAGCTTACGACGACGTTTCGGTCCGACTTGGACCATTTACAAAGTCACACTAGCCAGAAGTGGAGCAGGACGGCTATATATAGGCAGGAAGAGGTGGTGGTAGTAGTAGTAGTACGTGGTAGTAGGTAGTAGTAGGTGGTAGTAGTAGTAGTACGTGGTCGTAAGCTTCTCTCTTTTATGTGCGGGTTATTTGTGTATTATTTGATATGTTCGTCCATTTTAGGTGCTTTAGGTTGAAGTCCCCCAGGAGCAAGATGACGGGGGCAGGAGTTGGAAGATTTTCTAAACGTTAAGTATCTCGATGACAACGACATTCTTCATAGTTACCAATCACGCTTTAGAAGATCTCGTTCAACCGACACCTTCCTAATTAATCCGCTGGATTATATTAGAACTGAAATGTCGATAGAGAACCTCATAGGAATGGTAACCTTAGACTTGCAAAGGCCTTCGATACTGTCGACATTGCAATGGATCAGAGAATACCTAACAGGGAGGCAACAACGAGTCATGGTACGTGACGAGGTGTCAGAGTGGGCGCCTGTGACAAGCGGGGTTCCACAGGGGTCAGTCATAGGACCTGTGCTGTTTTTGGTATATGTGAATGACATAACGGAAGGGATAGACTCAGAAGTGTCCTTGTTTGCAGATGGTGTGAAGTTAATGAGGAGAATCAAATCGGTCGAGGATCAGGCAGGATTGCAAAGAGACCTGGACAGGCTACAAGCCTGGTCCAGCAAGTGGCTATGACTCGATCCCTGCAACCACAAATAGGTGAGTACAAATAGGTGAGTACACACACACACACACAGACACATACTTTTCTCAATAACTGTTAAGAAATATTTTCACATTAACAACCCTTAACATCTCACTATAGAACACATCCCAGATTACTTTGAACACCAAAGCACCCTCATACATCATTTGAACACCTCAAAACACTCTCAAACACCAATGATTACTCTCAAACACCTTTGAATACTCTCAAACATCGTTTGAATAGTCTCAAACATTTGAATACTTCCAAATTCTCTCGAGAAAGTGTTACCGAAACACCAGTGAACACTCCCAAAACATCATAGAATACTCCCATAAACACCATTGAATACACCTAAAACACCATTGAATACTCCCAAAAAACGTTTAACATTTCTAACTCAACCACCAAATTACATTCTCAATCACACATTTCATTAACTGAAATTACACTTCACTCACTCATTCTCCAGGCTTTACAAAATTAACACAAAAAAACTAACTCATACACTTATGAATGAGACATTACCAAAACTTACACACAGACACCACCACCTAAGTTATAATATGAGCACCAAAACTAAGACACAGTCACCTCCGACTAAGACATAACGTGAGTACAAAAATTTAAAGGCGCGATCACCATCAACTAAAACATATCATGAACACGCACAAAAAAATAAGACAATCGCCAACTAAGACACAACAAGATCAGCAAAAATTTAAAGACATAATTACCACAAACTAAGTCATATCGTTTACACACAAAAAATCTAAGAACCACCAACTCCATCTCCAAATTACATTAGAACATTTCTAAATTACATTGGAACACTTCCAAACAACACTGGAACACCTCCAAAATGTAATTTTGAATACTCCCAAATAACATTTGACATCACTAAAACATCACACATTTTACATATTCACTCATCACTCGTCTCAAAACCACTAAGATCACTCAACCTAAGATAAACATTAATTAACACACAAAACATTTTATCAAAGATGATCACCAATTTCTGTGATCACTCATCTCAATACCATTAGTCATTCACCTCAAAAACCACTAAGATCGCAGAAAACACGCATTTTTATATACATTCACACAAAATTCACATCCACCAACTCCACATCATATTTGACAATATCTAAGTACACTCACCTCACTACCACCAACACATGACGTCACACCCCACATGACCGGTGACGTCACAAAAAGGGCACCTCCCGTGACATCACACCCCCACATGAGTATACTTGCACTTGCATTTAAGTTAAGGAGAGGAATAATGGCGTCACACCCAACCCCCTTTGTTTCAACCTTTTGTACGTAAAATATCTAAGAACACTATAACCAAGACAATTACCAAATTCTATGGCCCCCACCACTAAGATCACAGAAAACACTCATTTTTATAAACATTCACACAAAATCACGACCACCAAATCCATATAATATTTACCAATATCTAAAAACACACACCACTAACACACTCATTTTTTATAAACATTCCCTCAAAACACTATAACCAAGGCGATTACCAAATTCTATGATCACACTCACCTCAAAACCACTAAGATTACCAAAACTAACGCAAAAAACATTATATGCAAAATGACCACCAATTTCTATGATCACTCGTCTCAAAAACCACTAAGATCACAGAAAACACTCATTTTATGCACATTCCCTTAAAACACTATAACCAAAATGATCACCAAATTCTTTGATCGGCCTCACAATACCATTAGGACCACCAACACCAGATCATATTTACCAAAATCTAAGATCACTCATGTTACGTTTATGTTGTTATCCCTTATACTTTGAGAGTAAGGTTCTCACTACATGTTCTAGTGTGGGGTAGCTTTTACATAAAGGCCTTATGTCTAGGGTAATACTTACATCATGACTGATCATCCACCAGCCCTCTTCACAGGTTATTTAAACTACTACTATAAAAATATAACTGTATTCTAAATAGATATGTACAGAATATACAATTACAGCACTCACATATTCAAAACATAAGTCTACACACTCCTTAGCTGTTCTCCCACATGGTGCATCTCAGCAACTTTGCCCTTCTCTCTACATGACTAATCTCTGGGCTAACCAGTGTTTTGACACACTTTAGTCACCCTGGGTATGGTGGCCACAACTTAAGCTATAAAAACTCATCCATGGTAGCCCACATCAACCAAAAGAAAATAGTAAGCAAGATCAGAGGTCCCTCTCCAACTTGAATAGTCCACTAAACAAATTTGGGGGAAGATAGATAGATGAGAGAGGGTAGGGATGAGTGATCTGCCCTTATAACATTTAGAGCTGAGTCCCCATCAATCCAATATAATTAGGTATTCCAGAGTAACCGTTACAGATACATAAATGCATGTTGGGTCCTATAGCCCTATAACACCCCCACCTCCAGACATAGTCTCACAAAATCTAGCCATGTCCCTCAGGATACGGCTAGTAATAAAAAAAACATTGCTTTAGCCTGAAGGTGGTTAGCAAGACTACTAGAAATGTTACATATTTCCCAGCACCATACTACTCTTCACATTACTGTTATTTACCACAAGGTGACATACTACATGGCAATCTACAAATTTGTGTGGCTCCACTGAACCTTCCCAGATTACACATGCACTTCAACCCCATACCATACAAAACCCTGAAAGGAACAGATTGCAGAGTTTTTTAGAAAAGCATTTTAACCATACCCACATACTCAAGGGTGTAACTATTTACAATTTTAGTGGCTTTTAAAACATAATACACAATGCAAGAATTGCACACAATGCCCACTGTGAAAGCCTGCACCGACAGGACTGTGCCTCTGCTGCAGTAATCCAGAAAGCAACAGGTACTCCAGGGTGGCATCTTCCTGATCAGGAGACGAGAGTAGAGCCAAACCCAGAGCAGTCATCTGTACACCAGGCAGGAAACTTCAGAAAACATGTCAAGGTGTCTCTCACATGGTGGCCGAACCAAACAGTGAGACTTCCAGTCAACACTCACGATCCTTAACATGGTCAGGCACTCAAGCCCATCTTTCGAGGTCCCACTCCAAAAAGATCCTCCAACCTTATGAAGTGGAGGCTGACACAGAACATGGAGGGCTCCAAGGGACCACAAAGGCAAATCGTCAGGCCGTTTCATACACAGAGCACACCAAGACAATGTACCACATACCTTCCTGAAAATCTCATGTTATCAAAGGTTGTCAACCTCTGCCTCAAGTCACAAATACATACATATACACTGACCCTCGTCACACTTTTGGCTCCGACTCGTTTCCTTCACAGTTGGATGGCTGGTAGGGAGTCCTCAGGCTCGCTGAGAGTTCACCACTGCAAAAACAACAAGGTCAGCACATGACAAACACTATGTACAAAGTATGCATAATGCATCTACATGAAACATCTAGAGAGAGCATCAGCAACCACATTCTCTGAGCCCTTTATATATTTAACTTCCAAATTAAAAGGTTGTAGGAACAAAGCCCATCTTAAGAGTCTTTGATTGTGGTTTCTCATTCTTTGCAAAAACCTCAGAGGGTTATGGTCACTATACACAATTACAGGATGTGGGGAAGCACTGACATAAACTTAAATTTCTGCACAGCCAACACCAAAGCCAAAGCCTCCTTCTCCACAGTTGCATAACCACGTTGATGCTTTTTTAATTTGGCCGAGTGGTAACAAACTGGCTGAAGGCTATCTCTTTCATCACCCTGCAACAACACTGCACCTACCCCTACATCACTAGCATCCACTTGTAGAGAGAAGGAGCATTCCCTAATAGCATTTTCACATTTTCAAAAGCCCTGTCACACTTGCTGTCCCAGCTGAATTGAACTTTGGGACTGGTCAAAGTTGTCAGTGGTGACATTACCTGGGAGAGGTTGGGGCAGAACCATTTGTAATAACCCACCATGCCCAGGAACCTCATCACTGCCTTCCGATTCTGTAGTCTAGGAAAATTTATAATGGCTTCCACCTTAGCATTAATTGGGGCAACTTTCCCCCGACCAACTACGTATTCCTAAGAATTGTACACTGGCTTGGCCAAACTCACTTTTGCTCAGATTGATGGTTAGTTTGGCTTGGGCTAAACATTCAAACAACTTTTGTAATCTTACCAAGTGAGTTTTCCACTGGTTACTGAATACCACAATATCATCTAGATAGGCCTGTACACCATCCTACCCCCTTATGACAGTATTTATACGATGCTGGAAGGTGGCAGGAGCATTTTTTAACCCAAAAGGAAGAACATTTTATTGAAATAACCTATCTGGAGTGACGAAGGCTGAAATTTCCTTGGCTTGCTGGGTGAGGGGTATCTGATAATAACCTTTAAGTAAGTCCAGTTTGCTCACAAACTTTGCCCCTCCCTCAGCATCAATCACATCATCCATACGTGGCAAAGGGTAACAGTCAGCCTTCATTACTTCATTTACTCTGCGATAGTCAGTGCATATACACATAGATCCATCAGGTTTGGGAACCATCAGGCATGGAGATGCCCACTGACTCTCACTAGGCACTACAAACTGGTTTTGAAGGAGGAATTCCACTTCTTCCTCCATGTGAAGTTGATGGGTTCATGCAGTAAGGAGCCTGCTTTATTGGAACAGCTTCCCCGACATCCACATCAAGGGGAGGCAATTTACTTACTTTGGGTACATCCACAAACAAATCTGGAAATTTTTGGAGTAAATGAACCAAGTCACAGACTCCCTGTGCACTGAGTCCCTTCATGTGTGCCAAGGGATTTTGCAAGATGGCTGAATTGCACAGCCTTACTTCTGTTGTTACAGGAAGCTTTTCAGTATCGTCACACACAACTTGGATGGCGGCAACTCCTGCCCTACCGTGGTGTTTTTTTTAATCTGTTAATGTGCACAGTACTTTCTGATTTGCGACAGCCAGGCATCTTAATTACATAATTGGGGCCAGACCTGCCTGTGATGACAAAGGGTCCATCAAATCGTGCAGCCAAGGCATGTCCCAGAACTGGCTCCAAAGCTAACACTTCCTCTCCAACACTGAAGGAGCGAGGAGCTGCCCTTTGGTCGTACCGCTGCTTCATGGCCCTCTGACTAGCTTTGAGGTTGTCTGCTGCCATCTGTCTCGCCTGGTCCAATCGTTTCCTGAAAAAGAGAACATCTTCCGGCGGGGAAGCCTCATTTTCACCGCCCAGCCAATGCTCCTTGAGAATAGGCAGTAGCCCCTTCACTGGATGACCATAGACGAGCTCGAAAGGGCTGAAACTGAGAGATTCTTGGGTGCTTTCCCACATGGCAAACAAGAGAAAGGGGACACCCTCATCCCAATCACTAGTGTTATTCATACAATAAGCTTGCATCATTGTCTTAAGTATTTGATGAAATCTCTCTACGACCCCCTGAGACTGAGGGTGATAGGCAGTTGAAAATTTGGGCTGTACATCTAACCCCTTTAACACATTCCTAAATAATTTTGAGGTAAAGTTAGACCCTTGATCTGTTTGTACCTCCCGAGGAATGCCAACATGGGAAAAGAACTTCATCAAAGCCCTTAAGACCACTCGAGCTGTTATCTTGGGTAGAGGGATTGCTTCTGGATACCTGGTAGTGGAGCAAATTATCGTTAGTAAATAATTGTTTCCCATTCTGGTCCTTGGGAGTGGGCCAACGACATCCACTACCAGCTTGCTGAAGGGTTCACCTGGTGCTGAAATAGATTGAAGGGGAACAGATTTAATGCTTTGATTAGGTTTCCCTATAATTTGGCAGACATGACAGATCTTTATATAATCTCCTACCGTCTCCCACAGCCGAGGCCAGAAGAAGTGCCTGGAAACCCTGGACACTGTTTTAGCAATACCTAGGTGTCCACCTAGAGGTGTGTCATGCGCTAAGCTAAGAACATGGTTTCTATAAGGCTCAGGCACCACGACCTGGTGACAAAAACTTGGCTCTCCTTCTACTGGTACTGCAACCGAACGTGCCTTCTTCATTAGTATATCTTTCCTGAAATAGAGGCATTAACTTAAACGTAAAGATTCCTCCTCAGAGTGTCATCACACCCCTGTGCAGCAATTAACTGCATCATAGTAGGCCCAATCTCCCTCACACTACTTCCCTGATCTCTGCACTGATTAGGCTTGACTCGGGTTGTGGTATCCTTTTCTGCAGTTCAACATCAGAAAATAAAGTTTCCAACCCTAAGTCCTCACCATCCTCATGAGAAATATACTCTTGGTAGCCTGATCACGAGACATACTTCTTGTGATGGCACCAACAGGGAAAAGGTCTGGCAGGGTCTCCCTAGCCTTCTTCTCCCAAACTTTGGGGTCTGGTTCCCCCCATACTAGTGGTTCCTCACTATCTAACAGACCCGTAACGTTGTTTCCCAATAAGAGGTTAACCCCTTCGAAGGGAATTTCATCTGAAATACCTACAGGAGATAACCAATGGTATGCAGATTCTACCCATAATTTGTGTGCAGGTGTTCTTATAGGTGAACCTGTAATACCCTTCAATAATATATCTACTCCAGTATAGGTATCCTTAAACACTGGCAGCACTCCAGCATGTAGCAAGGAGTAGGTGCTACATCCATCTCTCAAGGACAGTATGTTCTCAACCCTACCCACATCCTTATGCAAGGCAACTGTGGACTTGCTAGAAAATACCCGCATCCTGGGGTCTAGGCCCAAAGGTATCTCCTCACCTTGCTTTGAAGACCTAATACAGGCAACTGGGTGTGTGTCTGCAGTTAGGGTCTTCTGGGGTGGTTCCTCCCTTTCCTGATCTCGCCGTCTTGACCAGCAAAACTTTTGTGTGTGTCCAGTTTTGTTACAGTAGTAACAGGCATAAATAACTCTTAAAGGTATTTTTACGATTTGGTTTACTAGAGGACCTGAAACTTTATCTGATTGTCTAGGTAAACTTTGAGCTCCAGCTTACTTACCTTTGCCTTCTATTTTAGAGGGTGCCTCAGCCTTCATTTGTCCCTGAAAAATTCTTGTCCCACTTACCTTTATGACCATAGGACTTGGAATATGGTTTAGAACGAGTGGGGAAATTTTCAGAAAGAGCATGACTGTTTTTACTTACCAGTTCCCTGCAGGCCAAGAATAGGTTACCTAGATCCAGTGCTTCTGAAAGATTATCTGGGTTTTCGTCCTCCAAATATTCTCTGAGGTCAACAGGGATTGTATTGTACAATTCCTCATGAACCATCAGATCTACTAATTTGTCATAGTCTTTATTAACTCCTTTAGAACAAACCCATTTCTTAAAAAGAAGCAGTTTCTCATTCCCAAACTCGGTTAAGGTCTGCCCATCCTGAAATTTTTGATTTCTGAACTTTGTCTATATTTCTCAGGTATCATTTGGTAGGCAAGCAATACTTCCTCTTTAATTTTATCATAACCAGAAAATTTTTTCCCCTCCAGAGTCTCTACTCTCTGGAATCCTTTACCCACAAGTTGTGTGCGAACTTGGGTAGCCCACTTCTGTTTGGGCCATCCTTGCTCCAAAGTAGTCTTCTCAAAAAAAGAAAAATATCTGTCTGGGTCACTCTCTGTAAACTTAGGGACAAAATTTGCAGCTTTAGTTATGTTAAAGTACTTCTCAGGCTCTTGTTCTGAATCTCCTAACCTTTGACGCTCTTCCTCCTTAGCTTTCATTAATTTCATTTCAGCCTCTAACACTGCTAGTCTTAGTCTCATCCTCTCCATTTTCGTATCACCTGGAGTAGGTGATCCCTCATCTTCACTGTTACCACGCATGTTTACTGATGAATTATTACCTTCCTCCCTGAAGCCTAAAAAGTTTAAAAACTCATCTTCTGACATAGTTTTTATCTTTAAACACTTGCTTCCCTCTTACAGTATCAGTGGACAAAGTTTTCCCACAGGCACATAAAATAACACAAATTGAATGTAACTCTACATATAGCACTTACCATAACCACAACAAAAAGTGTGTTACTCAACCTTCCTTTCACCTTAGGAGAAAAACAACCTGTAAACTAATATGAAAACAACACTTCCACTGACACCACCTTGGTAAATCTTCTCCTACCAGAAACATGCAACTGTTATTACCCCATACCAGTACACATAATTCAAAGAATGTTTTGAGTTATTTTAGCAGTCAAATAACTCTCCCGGTCAAGCTCCCATGTTACGTTGTTATGTTGTTATCCCTTATACTTTGAGAGTAAGGTTCTCACTACATGTTCTAGTGTGGGGTAGCTTTTACATAAAGGCCTTATGTCTAGGGTAATACTTACATCATGACTGATCATCCACCAGCCCTCTTCACAGGTTATTTAAACTACTACTATAAAAATATAACTGTATTCTAAATAGATATGTACAGAATATACAATTACAGCACTCGCATATTCAAAACATAAGTCTACACACTCCTTAGCTGTTCTCCCACATGGTGCATCTCAGCAACTTTGCCCTTCTCTCTTTAGGACTAATCTCTGGGCTAACCAGTGTTTTGACACACTTTAGTCACCCTGGGTATGGTGGCCACAACTTAAGTTATAAAAACTCATCCCTGGAGCACTCATAATGCCCAAAAGAAATAGATGAAGGACCCAGAGATCCTGCCAGCTTGAAGTCCACCAACAGAGAGAGAGAGAGAGGGAGAGGGAGGAGCCTAGCTAAGCTCCTCCCACACCCACCAAAAACAAAAGACTGTTGCCAAGCACATTTCTCCAGTTACTACAATTCTACCACACCTTAATTTTACTTTCACAAAAAGAATTACAACTTTATAAACTACTTATTTAAATTGTGTGTTTTTGTGTCTATAGTATAACCTATTATATTGAGAAAAACAGGCTTGACCCAGCTGCCTTACAGCCATAAGAGTGAGCTGCCCTTATGACATTTAGAGCTGAGTCTCCATCAATTCAATATAATTAGGTATTCCAGAGTAACTGTTACGGATACATAAATGCATGTTGGATCCTATAGCCCCATAACAACTCATCTCAAAACCAATATGATCACTAAAACATCACACAATTTATGCACATTCCTTCAAAACACACTAACCGAGAACACAATTACTATGATAACTTAGGAAAAGATCACTAAAACTATGCATACTTTTACTAAGATCACATAACATTTGGCATCTCTCAACTCACACACCAAATTACATTCTCTATCACACATACCCATTTCATTAACTGAAATTACTTCTCATCTACCAAACTACACACTCATAGTAAAAGTTTACTCACTCATTCTCGAAACTTTATAACATATACACAAATTAACTAACAGAATGGGCACCTGTGACGAGCGGGGTCCCACAGGGGTCGGTCCTAGGACCACTTCTATTTTTGGTATATGTGAATGACATGATGTAATGGATAGACTCAGACATGTCCCTGTTCGCAGATGATGTGAAGTTAATGAGGAGAAATAAATCAGATGAGGATCAAGTTGGACTTCAAAGAGACCTGGACAGACTGGACACCTGGTCCAGCAACTGGCTTCTCGAATTTAACCCCGCCAAATGCAGAGTCATGAAGATCGGTTAAGGGCACAGAAGACCGCAGATGGAGTATAGGCTAGGTGGCCAAAGATTGCAAACCTCGCTCAAGGAGTTGAGTAAAACACCGAGCACGTCTCCGGAAGCACACTTCAACCATATGTGTTGCTGTGTGAGATCCAGGAAATGGCATCAACTCAAGGATAATAGTTTTCTGAACAGTCTTTGGTGAGGCAATGCCCAGTCAAACTTATAAAGGTATGTACAGTGTGTGTGAATATATGTATGTAAGTAGCCTTAGCAATAATGAGGTATAGTGAGTGTGTTCACATATTTGTGGTTGCAGGGGATGATTCACGGCTTCTGACTCTGCCTCTTTGTTGGTCACTAATAGATCCACTCTCTCCCTGCTCAATGAGCTTTATCGTATCTCTTGTTGAAGATATGTATGGATTCTGCCTCCACTACATTTCTCCAGATTGTTCCACTTCCTGCCAACTCTATGAATGAAGAAGTACTTCCTAACATCCCTGTGGCTCATCTACTTGAGTTTCTAAGTTCCAGTTGTGACCCCTTGTTGCTGTGTCCAATCTCGGAAACATTCTTTCCTTATCCACCTTGTCAGTTCCTCTCCTCTTAAGCATTGATAAAGTATAGTGTTAATTTCACTATTTTTAACCCCATGTGTAATATTAATATTAAAAGTATCGCCTGGTATTAGCAAATTGTTCACCAGTTGTGATAACCATAGCAATAAAAATAGCCAAAACCCATTGGTACTTTGGTACACCTGCAATGCAAGGAAAGTTTTGTTACATCCATGGGGTGATAAACATACCAAGTATATGGAATATTGAAATGCACATACAGTGGAACCTCTGTTTTTGTGATTAATCCATTATATAGGAAACAATGAGAAATAAATATAAAAGACTAATGAATGGATAAATGAACATTTAACATCACTTTTACCGTTATTGAAGACTCTTGTTGGCGTATGCAAGACGGCGAGGAGGCGAAAGGGAAGAGAGGTTATTGTTTGGAAGGGGAATCCCCTTCCAAAGTGACTCAGATCCAGAGCCAGCTGATTCGAATTGCTTGACAGTGGTGATGAATACTTGCCACTGGATGCGCAGGTGTCAAATGATGATGAGGAAGATAGGCCATCCAAAAAGCCTAAATTAGCTCAGTGAATGCCAAGATATTTACATGCAAGCACTGCAGCACTAAGAAAAATCCTGTCACATCCTCATTTTCCTGTGTCGTATGCAAAGCAAATCTATGCATCAAGAAGGGAAGAAATTGCTTCATAGCCTTTTATTCTAGCAAATAGTCATCTAGAATGATTGTTCTTTCTCAGGAATTCATGAAAAAGGGACTTGCAAGTTTTATCCCTTTGCAAAGTGTCCATGTTACTCTTTGGTTCATCTTTATATTTTTTGTACACTTAAAAAATGTTTGGAAACAAGTTTCATTTGTTTCTCATAATGTCTATTTGTATATAAATTTGAAAAATACTTATTTGGTGTTTTATTAACAATTGCAACTTGGCAACATTCAAAAATTTTCACCATTTACCGGGCGGGTCTGTATATTTGTTGGCGTCGAATATTTGTAACTGAACAAAAACTTATTTTTAGAAATTCATTTATATAGGCTCATTTTCCTTACATTTGATACTCTATCAACTCATAGGAAAGACATTTCGAATTTCACATTTTCCTAGGCATGACCAGTAAAGGGTTAATCACTGAAGAAGGCATATTCTCACCTCTCTCTTCCTCTTCCTCTGAAGCAATTTCCTCAGCTGCAGTCTGTTGCTGTTCCAGTTGAAGGTCTTGCAGCTCTTCAGTGGTTAGCTGTTCCCTGTGGTCGTCCACCAACTCTTCCATATCCTGGCCACTTACATCCAATCCCATGGACTTCCCCAAAGACATAATAGATTCCCCAATAGATTCCCTTCAAAATCCTTCCCAAGGACACATTCTGGCCACAATTTTCTCCAAGCAGAGTTCATTGTCCTGGAAGTCACTCCCTCCCAAGCCTTATCTATAAGGCTTTTGCAACTGAGGATATTGAAGTGATTCCTCCAGTACTCTCTCAGGGTCAGTTCAGTGTCCGAGGTCACTTCAAAGCACCTTTGAAACAGTGATTTGGTGCAGAGTTTTTAGAAGTTTGAAATGACTTGCTGGTCCATGGGCTGGATGAGAGGAGTGATATTAGGGGGCAAGAACTTCACTGTGATGAAACTAAACTCCTCCAATAATTGGTCTTCCAAGTTTGGAAGATGAGCAGGAGCACTGTCCATTACCAGGAGGCACTTGAGTGGCAACTGATTTTCCAGGCGGTATTTCTTCACACTCTGGCCAAACACTTCATTGACCCACTCAATGAAAATTTTCCTCATGACCCATGCCTTATTGTTACCCTTCCACATCACACACAATTTACTCTTGATGACATTGTTTTTCTTGAACACTCGGTGATTTTCAGAGTGATACACCACTAGCCTTCTCACAGAACAAAGAAGTTAGCCTATCCTTCATAGGATTGTGTCCTGGCATTCCAAAAGAGGCGTGTTTCGTCACAACTGAAGACTTGTTAGGGGAGGAATTCTTCAGCCAATACGCACTCCTTGAATTCATCAACGAATTCTTCGGCCCAACATTTGTCCGAACTTGCAGCCTCACCACGCCTTACCACACTGTGTATGCTAGTTCACTTCTTGAATTTGTTGAACTAGCTTCTGCTGGCCTTAAATTCACTAACATCAGCACTCGGTCCAGGCATTTTCTTTGTGAGAACCTCATGCCTTGCCTTTTCGTAAATTGTCGCCTCCAAAACACTCTCCCACTAACTGTTTTTCGTTGATCCACACACATTTACCCCTTTCACAACATCAGCTTCCTTGATTTCTTTTTTCTTCACCAGGATGGAACTGATTTCCCATTGATGCAGACTTCCCATGCATTCTGGCGAGATCAGGCATGTGTACGCCATTATAATACTTTGCTACGATTGTAGATCAATGGTTCAACTTTGCTACGAGTTCTTTCTTAAATTCTATCATGTTTCTCGCCTTCTTTATCAAAGAGATGGCACTCAGAACATTTTTTGGCCCCATGGTGGCTTATTTAGCAGTTGCATGAATGCAGGGGAGGGGGGTGATGCTCACTCAAAGAGAAACAAAGGCAGACTAAGACACAAATGCATGGGATACTTTGTGTGGGCGCTTGAGTGGCCGAGTCACGTGGAGGCATTTCGTACAGACCATTTTCAACTCTACGAAAAGTGAGTGAATGTACAAAAACTGGGACAAAATTTTGATGAAAAAAGTCATCGAAAACCGAATCCTACGAAAACTGGAGCATACGAAAACCGAGGTTCCACCATATTTATTTTAATCAGGAGGAAGCACTAAACTCATATGGGTCATATAGAGCCTGGAGAATGGGAGGCATTTGGGTTCAGTCAAGTTCCTTGGATCAAGAGCCCCATGCTTATCCGTATCAAGGGACTTCCCTTGAAAAGACAAGTATTAATAATATGGTGAATAAGAGAAACTATATGAAATTTACCTAAATACTTCCTTAACAAATGCCTTAAGGTAATGCAATTTGTTGATGATTTGAACAGTTATTGGAGCATCTGGGTCCACGTGACTTTTAATTTCATCATAGAGTCGTTCTTGAATGCTTGGATTCAGTGCTAAACAATGAAGATTACCAAGAAGTGTTGGAGCAGTCTGAAAAATAATGATTTTCAATACAAAACATGTAAGGTTTTATCATATTCGCAATAATATGTACAACCCAAATGGATCATTCAGCACTGCCAGGTATTACTGTATATTACATAACAAACATACATACTTCTTCTTTCAACAAACTGGCCGTATCCCACCGAAGAAGGGTGGCCCAAAAAGAAAAACAAGTTTCTCTTTTTAGCTTTAATGTATACAGGAGATGGGGTTATTAGCCACTTGCTCCCGGCATTTTAGTCGCCTCCAATGACATGCATGGCTTACAGAGGAAGAATTCTGTTCCACTTCTCCATGGAGTATACATACATACAATACATACACAAATGAACATAATATACATAACACCCCAACACACACACATAGTGAGAGTGTGAGTGTCAGCGAGAGTGTGAGTGTGAGTGTGTGAGAGAGTGTGAGAATGATAGTGTAGGAGTGTGAACGAGTGAGGGGGTGAGTGAGAGTGAGTCAGTGAGTGTGTGGTTGCAGGGGTCGAGACATAGCTTCTGGCCCTGCCTTTTCACTGGTCGCTACTAGGTTCCTGCCTCCACTACATCATATGCCAGACTGTTCCACTTCCTGACAACTCTGTGACTAAAGAAATACTTTCTAACATCTCTTTGACTCATCTGAGTCTTCAGCTTCCAATTATGACCCCTTGTTTTTGTGTGCCATCTCTGGAAGATCCTGTCTCTGTCCACCTTGTCAATTCCTCGCAGTATTTTGTTTGTCATTATATGTCTCCCCTACCCTCCTGTCCTCCAGTGTCGTCAGGCTGATTTCCCTTAACCTTTCTTCGTAGGACATTTCCCCTGATCTCTGGAACTAGCCTTGTTGCAAACTTTTGCACTTTCTCTAATTTCTTGACATGCTTGACCAGGTGTGGGTTCCAGACTGGTGCTGTATACTACAGTGTAGGCCTGAGGTACACAGTGTATAGAGTCTTGAACGATTCCTTACTGAGGTATGGGAACGCTATCCTCAGGTTTGCCAGGTGCCCATTTGCTGCAGCAGTTATCTGGTTGATGTGAGCTTCAGATGTGCTCGGTATTATACTCACTCCCTGAGTGAGGTTTGCAGTCTTTGGCCACCTATCCTATACTCTGTCTGCAGTCTTCTTTGCCCTTCCCTCATCTTCATGACTTTGCATTTGGCAGGGTTAAATTCGAGGAGCCAGTTGCTGGACCAAGTTTCCAGCCTATCTAAGGTCTCTTTGTAATCCTGCCTGGTCCTCATCTGATTGAATTCTTCTCATTAACTTCTCATCATCTGCAAACAGGGATATTTCTGTGTCTATCCCTTCTTTCATGTCATTCACATACACTAAAAATAGCACTGGTCCTAGGACTGACCCCTGTGGAACCCAGCTCATCACAGGCACCCACTGTGATTCATTGCAGTGCCCATCCTGTTTTACGTGCCTGATCCTCTAGCATTTACACTAATCTCTTGTAAGAAACTGTATCGAAGGCCTTCTTGCAGTCCAAGAAAATGCAATCTACCCACCCCTCTCTTTCTTATCTTACTTCTGTTACGTTGTCATAAAACTCCAGTAGGTTTGTGACCACAGGATTCGCCTTTGCACGAATCTGTGCTGATTGTCGTTTATAAGCTTATTCCATTATAGGTGCTCCACCACTCTCCTCCTGATAATCTCCATGACTTTGCATACTATACACGTCAGTGACACTGGTCTACAGTTTAGTGCCTCGTTTCTGTCTCCATTCTTAAAAATGGGGACTACATTTCCCATCTTCCATACCTCAGGTAGTTGCCAAGTTTCAATGGATGTGTTGAAAATTGTGGTTAGTTGTACACACAACGTCCGGTTCCACCGCCTTTGAGATATCAAGGTCACTCAGCAGCTTCTTCACTTCCTCCTCGGTTGTGTGTATTTCATGCAACACTTGTTGGTATATCCCTTGTTGGTGTACCCCTCTATCCTGACCTACCGGAGACCTTTCTGTCTTCACTGTAAATACTTCCTAACATCTCATGTTGAGTTCCTAAAATACTTCTTGGTCGTTTCTTGTGAGCTCCGCACCTTCTTTCCTCGGCCTGATTACCTGGTCCTTGATTGTTGTCTTCTTCCTGATGTGGCTATTCAACAGCTTTGTGTGTGTATGTGTGTGTGTGTAACAAGGGGTCACAATAGGAAGGTGAAGACTCAGATGAGTCAGAGAGACGCTAGGAAGTATTTCTTCAATCATAGAACTGTCAGGAAGTGGAATAGTCTAGAAAATGATGTAATGGAGGCAGGAACCATATATAGTTTTAAGAAGAGGTATGATGAAGCTCATGGAGCATGGAGAGGACCTAGTAGCGATCAGCGAAGAGGTGGGACCAGGAGTTATGACTCAATTCATGTAACCACAAATAGGTGAGTACAGAGTCTTGCAAGTTGAATACTACTATTCCTCTCAATCTATTCAAGCTTATGATCAGTTGGAATATTGTACTGTATGCATTACAGTATACAGTATGCTACTGTATAAACATTTAAAAATATAGTAAAATTTTTATAAATGGTGCCAAGGTGACATTAAAACAATATATAAAGATGTTGACACAAACCTACTACCAGTATATGTAGTATGTTTGAAATAGCAGTAAGGGGTGGCTCCTCGATAATGACCAATTTGATTAATTATCTAGTTGTAGGAATGGAACTCAAGTTGCTAAATAAGAAGTGCCTGTATTATCAATATAGCCTCTCCTCACATAGCGACGTACTTGTTTACTGACGCCTCGGACTTACTATGGGCTCTCTGACCAGTATTCATTCCTGATTTCCTTCATTCTGCTTACAATATACAGTACACTACTGTACAAACATTTAAAAATATACCAGAAATTTTATAAATGGTGGAAAGGTGACATTAAAACAATATCCTAGAAGAATGACACAAACCCACTACCATTTGAGTATGCTCCTCACTCAGCGACGAATTCATTTACCGACGTGGTCATAGGAACGAAACTCCATCGTTAAGTGAGGAGAGGCTGTATTATAGTGTATATACCCTAATTTACATAAGTGCTTACTGTAGAAAGACCATCAGAGAAGAGAGACAAGGTGAGGGTGATGACATCCTTCTCAGAGAGTTCCTTACGAGACATGAGGTATGTGAGGAAGTTGAACTGGCCATCTACAAGCTTCTTTTCTTTTATGAGATCCTTGATCTCATCCATCGTCTCTCTGATGAACTTAATTGACACTCTAGAATATTAAATTCAAAACACATTATTTAGAAGTAGAATGATAAAATTAAAATTGTATAGAAATATAGGATGGGGTATGTATACTTTACAATATATATATAGTATAATTAAGATGGTAAATTCATCGGCCAACAATAGTTTCAGTTCATGTTTAAAAACAGGTGCTTCTAACTAATTTTGGGATGCTTAATAGTCAACTACTGATGGATACTGGTGCAGGAAAGCGATGCTGAACATAAGTTAAATAGCCTGAAAACTGGCATAAATCAGCGTGTATAACTGTATGGAAATTTCTGTTATTTTTATTATGCCTACATATAATGAAATTATGTTAAGGAAAATTAGATTTTGTCATTGTATGCACCACACTTAATACAGGTCGGCTATCACTAATCTGGCAATCAGTAATCCGGTTTCATTAGTAATCCGGCACTAATTTTGGCTAGCATAATTTCAAATTTCCAGGGTTGCCACACCAATCTGTTGTTACTGTTGGGTTTGCCTGGAGAAGGTTTTGGGGGTCAATGCCCCCGCGCCTCGCTCTGAGACCAGGCCTCATGGTGGATCTGGGTCTTATCAACCAAGTTGTTATTGCTGGCCACATGCTAACTGACATATGAACCACAGCCAGTTGGTCAGGTGTTGACTTTACGTCCAGCGCTTTTTGAAGACAGCCAGGGGTCTATTGGTAATCTCTCTTATGTATGCAGGGAGGCAGTTGAACAGTCTTGGGCCCCAGACACATACTGCTGTGTCTCTCAATGTACTTATAGCGCCCCTGCTTTTCATCTGGGGAATGTTGCTCCTCCTGCCGAGTCTTTTGCTTTCATAGGGAGTGATTTTCATGCGCAGGTTTTCTACCAATCCCTCCAGGACCTTCCAAGTGTATATTATCATGTATCCCCTTCTCTGCATTCCAGGGTTTACAGATCAAGGACCTTCAACCGTTCCCAGTAATTTAGGTGCCTTGTCATACTTATGTATGCTGTGATAGTTCTTTGTACACTCTCCAGGTCTACAATGTCGCCAGCCTTGAAGAGGGCCGTTAGCATACAGCAGTATTCCAGCCAAGAGAGAACAAACGATTTGAAGAGGATCATCATGGGAGTGGCGTCCCTAGTTTTGAAGATTCTCATTATCAATCCTATCATTTTCCTAGCCGATGAGGTAAATACATTGTTGTGATCTTTGAAGGCGATATCCTCTGACATTATCACTCCCAGGTCTTTCACATTTCTTTTTCACTCTATTGTATGGTTAGAATTTGTCATATACCCTGATACATTTTTAATTTCCTCAAGTTTTCCATATATGAGAAGTTGAAATTTCTCCTCATTGAACTTCATATTGTTTTGAGTGGCCCATTCGAGGATTTGGTTGATGTCTGCTTGGAGTCTTGCGGTGTCTTTGATGGAGGTCACTGCCATGGCAATCCGGGTGTCATCCGCAAAACAAGACACAGAGCTATGGCTTATGTCTCTGTCTGTCAGAAATGATAATGAGGAATAGAATGGGAGCGAGTACTGTGCTTTGTGGAACAGAACTTTTCACCGTGGCTGCCTGGGACTTTCCTCTGTTTACTATTACACTTTGTGTTCTATTTGTCAAGAAGTTATAAATCCATCTACCAACTTTTCATGTTATTCCTTTATTACGCATTTTGTGTGCTATTACACCATAGTCACACTTGTCGAAAGCTTTCGCAAAGTCTGTGTATACTACAACTGTATTTTGTTTATCCTCAACAGCATCCAGGACCTTGTTATAATGGTCCAGTAGCTGGGACAGGCAGGAGCGACCTGCTCTAAACCCGTGTTGCCCTGGGTTGTGTAATTGATGGGTATCTAGGTGGTTGGCGATCTTGCTTCTTAGAACCCTCTCAAAGATTATGATATGGGAAATTGGTGCTATCGGTCTGTAGTTCTTTGCAATTGCTTTACTGCCACCTTTGTGGTGTGAGGCTATGTCTGTTGTTTTTAGTGTGTGTGGGATGACCCCTGTGTCCATGCTCCCACTCCATAGAATGCTGAAGGCACGTGATAAAGGCTTCTTGCAATTCTTGATGAACACGGAGTTCCATGAGTCTGGGCCTGGGGCAGAGTGCATGGGCATGTCATTTATTGCCTTTCCAAAGTTTTGTGGAGTTAGGATAATATCCAAGATTTTGAGATGTTCAAATTCTGGGTTTTGTTCATTAATAATTCACTTGGATTTTCGACCTTAGTCTGGGCAGCGGTTCGCTCAACACTGAGGACTTGGATATCTCACTCATTTCTTGGCTGTCATCTGTGTATGTCCCATTCCGCCTAAGCAGGGGCCCAATACTGGATGTTATTTTTTCCTTAGATTTGGCATAAGAGAAAAAACATTTTGGGTTTTTTCAATTTCCTTTAAGGGTTTCAGTACTTCTTGTGATTCTTGTCTCTTGTAAGATTCCTTCAGCTCGAGTTCGATATTTTCAGTTTCATGGACCAGTGCCTCTCGCCGTATATCAGATATATTGGCCCCTTTCAGCAGCTCTGTGACTCTTTACCTTCGTCTGTATTGAGAGCATCTCTCTCTTTATAGTTTACATCTTCTCCTCTTCTGTTTCTTAATGGAATGTGTCTTGAGCAGCTCCCAAGAACCACAGAGTTCATTTTTTAAAGGCAAATGTTCGGATCTATCTTGTTTGGAATATCTTCCTAGCTGGTTTCATTTAGGACATGGTTGACTTGATCCCATTGTATGTTTTTGTTATTAAAATTGAATTTTGTGAAGAGACCTTCATGACTGATCACATTTTACTGGTCAGGAGCCCTGTGCATACATGTCTGTACCTTTATTATGTTGTTATCTGAGTGTATTGCTTATGATATGGTTATATTACAAATCAGATTGTCATTGTTAGTGAAGATGAGGTCCAGCTTATTTTCTAGTCTTGTAGGCTTTAATATTTGCTGGTTTAAGGTGAATTTGGTGCAGAGATTTAATTGTTCATGTGCGTGTGAATTTTCATCTGAGCTGCCTCCCGGGGTGATCTCTGCTAAAACATTGTTTGCTATACTCCTCCATTCTATGTGTCTCAAGTTGAAATCTCCTAGTGGTAAGATGTCTGGGGCAGGAGTTGGGAGATTTTCCAGACATTGGTCAATTTTCTAAAGTTGCTCCTGGAAATGCTGGGAAGTTGCATCTGGAGGCTAGTATACCACCACAATGACAAGGCTTTGGTTTATAATCTTTACCGCCAAAACTTGAACTACATCATTTGAGTTGTTTAGTAGTTCTATTGCATCTGTATAGGTTATAACCTGGGATCCATATATCGTTGTCATAATGGTCCTTTATGTGGGTCTCTGTGAATGCTGCAAACATTGCATTTGACTCCGTGAACAGTCCCTTGATGTATTGAATTTTGTTGTTTTTTGACAGGTTTACACCCTGTATATTTGCAAAGACAAATGTCGTTATATTGGTGGAATTTAGGGGGAGTTTATTTGCTGGCTCTAATATCTGTTGTTCTGGAGTTCTGTTCCAGAAGTGTTTTCAGTTGGTGTAGGATTATTGTAATTTTTTGCCAGTCGTTTTTTTCCTCCTGGCCTTAAGGGCAAGGAGGGAAAAAAAAAAAAACTGTCCCTGGAAAGGTTGTGGCTCCCCTCTGTTGTTTCCAGTAGTCTGGCTGGTCTGTGTCTTCTTGTCCCCTTTAGATGATGTGCCTGGCAGTATGCGTTGTAGCATTTTCTTTCATGGACTGGTGAGTGACACATTTTTGTATGAAATAAGTTACAGGAGAAGTTGCACTTTCCGGTTGTCATGTGGGTGTGGCATATTTTGGGATGGTCAAAGGTGCATGTCCCACCTGTTTTACGAGATATACCGTGCCTGCAGATACCCAAGACATAGATAGTATTTGCATAGATTGGGCTTCTGTTCCTAGGATTCCTTGTAGCTGCATTCGCTGCTGGTGCACTTTTGCTGTTTCCTCTTTATCTATCACCCCTGTATGGACATCAGTGCTTCTACCAGGTTTTGCTGGTACTATCTTGACGCTATTCCCTGAGGCATCATCCCCTTTTGTTCCATCTCCAGCAGTATCACTATTTTGTACGTCTGTGAAATGAATAGCGTTGTCTTGTTTCATCACCAGGGCCAGTGTCTTCTTTTGGTTCACTGTCCTACAGGACAACACTAGCACCCTCAGGAGCACTGTCGTTCCAGACAGCCACGTTCAAACCACCTATCTGTCATACCATGCTGACATATCTTTCAAGAAGGATCTTTCACTGGTGTTCTTGTATATATTTTGATAATTACCGACAATATGTAAAGTAAGAGGACACAAGTACAACTAATGTGACATTTTATTGTGGCAACGTTTGGCTCTCCAGAAGCTTTGTCAAACCATTACAAACAGTACTTGGACACAGAGGGGCATATATAGGCTTAGAGTGAGGTGCAATACTAGTGGTAGTAGTAGTAGTAGTAGTGATACAAGTTGTAGTAGTAGTAGTAGTAATACAATATGGTAGAACAATTAACTTGCACATGAGTAAAAGGATATAAAAGCTATTACTTGGGTAACATAAAAAAAATAGGTTAGACAAATATTTCTGTTGGAAGCTGGATTAGAGAAGGACTGTTTCAAAGTTCATTCTCTGTAATGTGCTTGTGTAGTATTAGCAGGAGAGACTATGTGATGACAGAGTTTACTGTTTTCAGGAGGATTCTTGCTAAGACTTCAGAGATGGTGAAGCTGCCTTTGTTTTGTTTAATTGTATTAGAAACAGCGATTCGTGATGATTCAAGGCACTTGCGTCTGCGGAAATTAGTTCCTTTGATTACTACTTGGGCATCCCTGAATTTCGTGAGATGATTGGTGGAATTCCGGTGTTGTACGCAGGCGTTGTTCGAGTTATCGTTCCAACAGGCATAAATGTGTTCATTGAGGCGGGTGTCGAGGTTTCTTGCTGTTTCATCTACATAAATCTTGTCGCAGCCTCCACAGGGTATAGTGTGAAC